TTTTTTTTTTTTTTTGTTATGAGAAATAATAACACATTTTATAGTACATATTCACTTCCGTCCATCAGTCAAAGTGTATAGCGATATTTAAATCTTCTGTTTAACTATAACTTGAATGTTTCGGTGAATTTTCACTAGTATTATGAGTGTGGTATTTTCAACAATATGTTTAAAAAATACAATTAAAATGAATAGACAAGAAATAGTATCGATGTGTAATCATCAATCCACGATTTGATCATTTTATTGTATTCATCGCTTTATAAAATCATCTGGTAAAGATAACTTTTATTTTGCTTGGTTTTCAGTTTTAAGAGATACAAATTAATTAAACATACTTAAGAGAACATCGTATCCACATATGTTTACTAACGCATATCATACCAAAATATACAGAAGTTCAGTAGTTCTAATTTTGTGTGTTTAGCTTAAATTTAAGATTGAAATGATCTATTCCCAAACTTAAAGGTAAGAACAATATCTACGTTTACTCGTCGGTTTTTTTTCGGTTTTATAATTTGCGAGTAATGAATATGTAAAATATTAATAATTAATAAAAATGCTCAAAAATCACTTAAAAATTAAAATATTATAAGAAACCCAGGATATAACACAAATAATGTTCTCACCTTTGAGTTCGATAATAGTTAATTACATCCTAGTATTTAAGCTAAACACACAGTTTTGGGACTGGTGATCGTATATTTTGGTATGATAGGCGTTTGTAAGACGGAGCAACATATGTGTGTATAACGATCTCTAATTGTTACATTGCTTAGTATAAGTCTGCGTTAAATTATAACAAATTCAAAATAAACAGTAGTTATAATACAAAAAATATTTGTATAACTTTTATATTCATGTAAAAATTAAATGTTAAATACTCCTATACCTCTTTAATTTGAATCTTTTATAATTAATAAATGCTAAGAAAAATATTAACTGGATTTGAATTAACAACGATTGAATGTAAATAACAATATCTCACAAATGATTGAATGCTGACTATTAAGCGCAATATAGATATACTCGTATACAATAATAAAATGAAAATGAAAAATTAATTACTAATAATTAAAAAATATAGATCTAATAATAACAATAATTTATAAAAATAACTTTGTCTTGCTTCAATTTATTAAATATTGGATTGTGGTATTTTTTAATGTCAATTTGACCGTCTATTAAACAAAAACGACCATGGTATTTTTTCGTATTATACCCTATGCATTGTCATATTTTTATCAAATTTTTATAAATATCCATTGTAATACAAAAAGTTTTCGTCTTTTTTCACATTTAAATTTTCAAATATTCAATTTTCTTCGCTTAATTGTAGGAATACTGTTCATAGTTGCTTAAGTAAACAAAATATTGAAAAACAAATTGTAATAAATAGAAATGACATGATTCTAAACTGATTTTAAATAATTAGTATCAATATGTGCTTCTTGTAGCAGGACGATTACGACATGACGACAACAGTTCCCAGTGTCAGTTACAGCGGCATTAGCGACGGTTATCCTTCTTCCGTTCCGTCTGTGGGTCTCGCCGACATGATTGGCGGCACCGGTAATCACCTCCACCCACACCACCATCACCATTTGCTCCTTTTACATCACCAACAGCAGCAACAACAGCAACAACAGCAGCAACAACAACACCAACAACACTCTCACCCGTCGCAGCACCAAACCGGCGGCACTGCGGCCACCGGATATTACGGTGCTGACGCGGTCAGCGGCCAACATCACCATCCATCGACGGCCGTGCTACCACTGCCACCACCGCCGCCGCCGTTACCACTATTGCTGCACGAACAACAGCAGCAGCAAATCGGTGGGGATTTACAATTACAACTCCAGTTACACCACCAGCATCAGCATCAGCACCAACAGCAACAGCACCAACACCAGCAGCACCAGCAACTGTTACAGCAGCACCAACATCAGCAACACCAGCAACAGCACCAGCACGAAGACTTATCTCGCCACCTCCATCACCACCACCATCAACTGCAGCTGCAGCAACAGCACCTCGTCGAACACCAGCACCATCATCATGAACTCACTAGTGCCGCTGCTCATCACCATCTGCAGCAGCAACAACACCAGCAGCAACAGCATCAACAGTTCTCGACCACGCACCCGCACCACCCTCAGTATCTACAGCAGCAACAACAGCGGCAACAGTTCTCACCGGCCACGGCTGCCGTTACCGCCGCCTCAGCCGCCCTCACTCATCCGCACTATCACCAACACCAGCATCACCACCTGCAACACCAACAACACGGCGTCAGCGACGGTGGTGGCACCGGTGACGACGACGATGACGACGTAGTAACAGCCGCCGCGGCGGCTGCAGCCGATAATGGCGGATATCCTTCGTCGTCGTCGGCATCGGCCGCTGCGGCCACGGCTGCCGCTTATGCAGCGGCGGCAGCGTTATACAGTGGCAACTCCGGTGCACAGGGACACCATGGCGTCCATCATCATGGTGGCCACCACCACCAGCCGCAACAGCAGCACATGTTACAACCACCTGTTGTAGGAGCAGCGCCGCACCAACAACACGGCATGCAACAACAGCATCACCATCAGATGATGGTGATTGGTGGCAGCGTTCCTTCATTAACTACCGCTCCACCGGCATCCGGTTAGTATTAAACGCTCGTCACCGATCCCTTATGTATACATCAGAATCGCATTTTTTTTTAGGGGGATTAGTAGGGTACACATTGGCACCCTTATTTTTTTGTATTTTATTCGCCTGCCACACATAATTTACACATTAACGACATGTCCTCTATATGCGTAAAAAATTCAAAGTTATAAATGTATCACATGTGTATATAGACGCTGATTAAGTAATTCATTAAGTATAATGCTTGTAAGTCCTTAATAAAGTTCTACATCTATCACAATAAACTTTGAATTATCTGAAAAAAAAATACTCCCGAATTTAATTATTTAAATTTTATTTTTTTGTTTCTTATGGCATTTCAAAAATTAAAAATATAATTATAATTAATTTTATCTCATATAAAAACATAATAATGACCCAGACTTTTTTTTTTTTTATTAAAATGATAATAATAAAATTGTCATTGTATTTATTTGTAACAAGAACATTTACAAAGCAATCAAAATATTAGAACCATATATTTACTAAAAGAACATCATTATATCAATCTTTGTTTGATTGGTTTAGATTAATCACAGAAAATATTTTAATACACGTATGGTCTTCAATAAAAGATCCTCGTAAACGAATCGTGTTACAATAATAATCTAGCCAAATATGATCACCTACCATATTGAGTGATAAAATATAAACCTAATTAGTATTTTGTTCAAATAAAATTTAAATTTGCATTTGATGTCTCTATATTACCACTCGCGCACAACACCAGTTTATCCATAAAATCAATCGACAATCGACGATTGAAGTTGTTATCACAGTCCGCGACAACTTGTGCGCATAAATTTTTGAAATTCAAATTCAATGAAATTACACTTATACTCTATACTCTATAGGCATATATTAATGATATGACGAGTGTCGTCGTTTTACTCCGTCCAATTCTAACTGTAGTTTTAATTCAAACCTAATCTTATTGCATCGTGTTGCAGATAGTCCTCCTACACCCGCCTTGATGCAACTGAGGGCAGCTGCAGCCGCTGCCGCGGCCGCAGTAGTAGATCCGACCGCTGGAGCTGTGTTGTCGTCGCCACCCGCCGGTAAAACTAGGCGGACGGCATCGTCAGTAGCCATAAATGACACGGTCGGTAGCAGTGGAGGTGGTGGAACAGCTGGCCGTTGCGGCAGTGGTCGCGGCCGGGGTCGTAGACCGGCGGCTGGTGGTCTTTCGGCTGCGGCCGCGGCGGCACTACAACAGCAGCAACAGCAACAGCCGTTGCTATTGCACCCACAACACACACACCCACATCATCACCCACATATGCAACAGCAGCAATTTGGCAGCGGTGGCCCACCAGTCGTGTCAGCGACGGCGACGGCGGCGTCGGCAACAGAACAGCAACAGAGCCCACCGCTAGACAGGGTGTTCGTGTGGGACCTGGACGAAACCATCATAGTGTTTAACTCGTTGTTGACGGGTGGCTATGCGGTAGCTCACGGCAAGGTACGTTCGATATTGTATTAAATTTATTTAAGTTATTATATACCTACTCTAAAATATTTCCAATATCATTATAATAAAGATTTAGTTATTCCAAAAAACTTCAAATAAATCAATAAAAAATAAATATTATTAACCAGAGCATCCCATTATTCTAAGTGTTAATTTTTGGATAATATTACAACTATTTTATAATACGATGCTTTTGGAAAAAAAAAGCTAGGATTGTATACCTGGGCATAACGTTACTCTATAATGTACTACTACAAGTCCTTAACTATATACAGTGATTATTTTTGATTAACAATACAAAGATATAAACTTATAACGAGAAAGTCATACTAATCGTTTATCATCCACGCTCTATAGTACTGAATTATCTGTGTGTATATGTGTGTGTGTGTGTGTGTGTGTGTGTGTGTGTGTGTGTGTGTGTGT